GGGGGGGGGGGGGGGGGGGGGGGCACTTGGGTATTTTTTGGGTGGGTATGTGCTGCCCGGGACTCCAAATTGGCCCCCGTTCTAAAAAAAATTTCCCCTAAAATTGATACCCTGTCTAGAAATGGGCCAATTTTTTATAACCCGTTCTAGTATTCGCCCTAAAGCTGATACCCCGTTCTAGAAATGGGTCGATTCTTTATACTCCGTTTTAGAAAGTTTGAAAATTGAAATAGCCCTGTTTTTGTAAAAAGATATTTCTTTATTTGTTCGACTTATACATCAAATAAATGCTTCTTCATAATCAGCAACAATTTCAAGCAGAATATAAAGCCGTGATCTACAACTTTTTATACCCTGTTCTAGAAAACGCCTCTGAAATGGATACCCCGTTCTAAATCAGGAGCTTCAAAATCACAACCCCTTTGGGCGGCACATACCCGTATAGGTAATGTTTGGGAGTACCCCCACCCCCGGGATAACAGTCCAACGGTAGACTATTTCGACTATTTAGTTCGCTTAACAGCCCTTTCAATTGCATACGCATGCCTGCTTGATTTCTTCTCCGTGATGTTGTTTTTCGGTAGGCTGTTGGTTGACACTATCTTAGCCTGCGTGAAATTACCTTCCTTCTTCCCTTTCGAATGCCGGTCACGAGAGCAAGACTATCCTATATGCTTACTTTAGTGCTCTCTATACTCAGAGAGGTCTAATACCTATCCCAACAAACTCGACTCTGAGTTACAACACTGACAAATGAAAACAACAAAAAGTTTAAGTTCAGTATGATAAATGTGATATAGGTTAGATATCGTATGAGTATTAGTGAATATCCTCCTTTAGTTCATTGGATAAAAAGGTTAAGCATGTTTACACAAAAGGCCTCCTCAGCCACTTGGAAGACAGCCAGTATTAAAAGGCGGAAACAGGGTCAGAGAAAGGGCCCCAGGAACGACTCGTCTGTAAAAACATCCTTTTAAACTTCAACAGCCGTAACTGCGTTCAAGAGTTAGTTTCAGGTCAACTGTCTGGCTACAAGTTTTGACTGGCTTTAAGACCCCTGACTGTGTTGTTGAAATGGAAACGAAGAAGCGACCGATCAACAACCCTCTAGTGTTTTCGTCGATAGTTTTATCTTTTGCTGCCTGTTTCGTGGCATTGATTCACGTCGAGATGGAGCTTCACGTTCATCGGAAAATGCTTCAAGTCTTGACTCAACAGAGAGAAGAAAGTATCCACTCACGAGGCATTGTGAACGATGAATCGATTGCCTCCGCGCTGTGTAGTGACACTGGTAAAGGTGAGTGCTTTGGTTTAGTGGTTCGATTCTCGCAGGCGTAGAGTTCGAACTGTTGCTTCACAATGGACCTTTTTGTCAAAACTTTAAGCATTCCGCAACAACGCCCTCAATAGTAAGATTATGTTTTAGTAAAAGTAAAAAGGAACTAATTTTTTAAGTGAATGTAATACTGATCAGAAACGATATTCTGGCGTATCGTTTTCAACTGTTTTGGTACAAGTCGGGAAGATTTCCCTTTCTCTTCTGAAGGGCTGAAACCTAACGCCGTGACAAAGCATTTAATATGGCGATTCAATTTCAGTATTGTTCGTTGGAATGTTCTTTTCTTTTCTTTTTAGTCCATGAAAATAAATAATATGGCATACAGTTCAGTATAGATAAAGTTTGTCTTGAACCCCTGTTATAAGCTATTATGTTACTAGACTACGAGCAGTCCCCATTTTTCGTCAGTGATAGTAGAGCAAGCGAAACGCGAGCGCGCGTGAAAATCACCCCACGCGAGAAAGGTGAGACACGGCTGGGAGAGAGTTCACGCGCGCTCGCGTTTCGCTCGCTCTGCTATCCCTGAGGGAAAATGGGGACTATTCGTAGTCTATTATGTTACTGCATAATTTAGTTTGTTACAGGAGATAATTAATCGACCAAAACATTCTTTCACTGAGAGATCATAAGAGTGACATAAATTATCCCTCAGTTGCAGAAATACACGATCGTCACAAACGCAATGCCAAAAATGTAAACAAGAAATCAAACGTCAGTGAGATCATTAGTAGAGAGGACATAAAAAGGGAAGTTAAACTGGCGATGAGTAACCTGGCCTGCATGGCACATTGTCCCAAGGGAGTCAGGGGAAGACGAGGCACGCCTGGTCCCCGAGGCAAACACGGACCAGTTGGGCCCCAGGGACCACAAGGACCAAGTGGACCTCAAGGAGATCAGGGGCCTTCTGGACCTAGAGGCGATCAAGGCCCTCAAGGACCCAAGGGCGATCCTGGTGAATCCATCTCAGCTCCTTCGATTGTGTCACCTCCGATGTCCATGGTGGTAAACGAAACTGGTATAGCCTCATTGCAGTGTCAGGTTAAAGGAAATCCAGTGCCCCAGGTCACCTGGCTGAAAGAAAATTCCAGTCTTCCCGCCGACAAACGAATCATGCAATCACGTGGTGGCCTTATGATAAGAGATGTGACATCACAAGATGGCGGAGTGTACACGTGTAGGGCAAAAAATATTCTTGGAGTCGTGACCTCATCAGCCACATTGACTGTTCAAGGTAATTTCTTATTAATTTTCCATTGTAGTCTTAATTCACCGTCATTTTCTCTTGCTATCATACATCTAATCAAGCTGAATACTGTTACATTCTTAACAAAGATACATATTTATCGAAGCTTCTGAAGAACTTAGAAGCTATATCTAGGATATATTTACTCTCGAGACTGTTTATATGCACGAAAGTCTTAGCCGATACCACTAACATCCCAGAGAAGATTAACAGGAATATCTGACGACAAAATTGAACCGTGGGAACAACGCAAATAAAACTTCATGGCTTGCAATATTTCCGCAGTCGTCGTCAAGATAATTTCTTTTTAAGCATTTACTTTATAAGTTTTTCTTTAGATACTGGCAACCGTGTTGGGTTTGCATTTAAACACAGAGAGAACAAAGTTTCTAAGCCAACAAGATTCTCTCTTCTTGTCAGAGGATAGAATGTATATATTGAAAGTCTAAACCCTAGTTTTTAGTACTTAGCAACTTAGTCAGAGTCGTATTCGGGGTGGTAAGAACACCTTATGACCTAAAGTCAACCGAAACTGATCGGAGTCGTAAGCGGCGTCATTATAAGCCCAACGGAATCCCGATTGCAAGAATCAGAATGCTTTCATTTTCTTCTTTCTCGTCGTACTTATTATAATTCCGTACCACCTCGTTCTCAGTGTCCTCTTTTTCGTGTCCCTACGGAACGAGAGGAGAGGAGAGGAAAGACTCCGTCAGGTGCACTGTTTCATGGCCACACTTTCCACTGACCAGGGTACGTTCAGTAGAGACAAATCTCGCGCTGATCTGCCTCCCCCCCCTCCCTACATCGTTTTTTCGTAATCTCCAGATTCTGGACCAGACTCAACCAGGGTCTCTTTCTCTCTCTCTCAATCCGTAGGGACGGTTAGGAGAGAACCCTGGGAACGAGGTTGGACTCCGTCGAGTTAAGAGTTTCTGAAAGCGAGTCCCAAGCAGAGACGTAAAAAGAAACCTTCCCTAATGCGACAACAACAACAAAACCAACAATAACTTTATTTAGTGGGATTTTCAAGAGCTCGAAACCGACGGAGCTGCAAGCGAAATTGGAGCGCTCTCTTTAGTATTACATTATCACATTGCACTTTTGATTACAACTCTAACTTCGACTCCGTCACTAATGAATCCAGTCCCAAAATATAACTGTAGGCTAGACGTCTTTGGGGTGCGGTTGCTTTACACTGGCCGATACATCAAACGCGGAACGTAAAAAGTAGGTCACGAACTTGAAAGTAATCGACCAAGTGTAAATTCCTCGAGGGGGACTTTAACGTTTGTTGGCGTGCACTTTTCATTTGTGTCTGTTATTTTCAGTTGCGGCCTTGATCCGAGAAAAGCCTTCCTCAGTAATCGTTGAAGAAGGAGAAAACGTGACCCTAGGATGCAAAGCTTCTGGTCTGCCGATGCCAACGGTGACGTGGCGAAAAGCATTTGGTCATTTGCCAAGAGGAAAGACTACAGTGATCGATGGAAACATGACTATTCTAAGTGTAACTAAAGAGGATAGAGGGACTTACGTATGCACAGTAAAGAATCTCCTTGGAGAGGAATCCGCTTTCTCCGTAGTAACCGTGATTGACAGGCTCAAATTTAGCATTACGCCTCCCATAAAGGCTGTCACATCCGATTCTAGCAACCTGACACTACATTGCAAAGCGCAAGGATCCATAGAAATAACTTGGAAAAGGGCCAGTAAAAATCTTCCTCAAAACCACGTCATTTTTTCAAACGGAACTTTGTTTCTCAAAAAGGTTACCAAAAATGATGCTGGATCTTACACATGTATAGCAAAAAATTATCAACGAACAATCAAGGCATCGTCTACTGTTGAAGTGCGATGGAGGTCCTGTAGCAGTATAAAATCAGCCCACAACGGAAGCTCTTCAGGTAATTATATTATTTACCCTGATGGCAAAGGAGGCGTGACTCCGTTCAGTGTGTATTGTGATATGAGTGATAAGGGAGGAGTAGGCGTGACAGTCATAAGTCACGACAGCGAGAGGAGAACACATGTCAGTAATATTCCTAACTGTGAACACGATAATCCAGGATGTTATAGTAAAAGTGTAACTTACACTGGCATCAGCACCGCTCAGTTGGCAGCACTCACTCGAGTCTCACAGAACTGTGAACAGTTTATTAAATTTGAATGCAGCAATGATGTTGCCTTTGTGCCAGAGTCGGCTGCCTGGTGGGTGTCACGTAATGGAAGGAAAATGAACTACTGGGGAGGCGCTGGTGGAGCAGCCAACACGTGCGCATGCGGAGTAACAAACTCTTGCTTAAATGGCCAAAAGTGTAATTGTTACAACGGTGGCATAGGCTGGAGAGAGGACAGCGGTCTGCTGACAGATAAGTCTGCTCTTCCTGTGTCACAGATCAGACTGGCAGACTTTGATCAGTTAAGTGAGGAAGGATATCATACATTAGGAAAGCTCAAGTGTTATGGCCTGGCATGAAATTTCTGTAAATTTTTTTGATAGCCTGTGTAGCAAGCGTTTCCGAACGTTTTTTCTTTCTTTGCTTCGAAACCAAACGGAAACGCTTGCTACGCAGGCTATATTTTGGACACTTGAGCATTTCTTGTTTCTCAAAATTAAAAGTGATAGGGTTAAGCGGCTAAATTAATCATATACAGCTAAATTTTGCAAAGAAAACTTTGATTTTCAAGACAAACAGTTATTTTTTTTTGTTTAGTTATGGATCGGCTGATTGTGTCAGTGAGTATGAGTAACGAGCAGCCCGAATGCGGATCTCTTCACTTACCCAGGATATCATACATTACGATAACATAAAATGTTATGGCCTGGCAAGTGATTTCTGTAAAATTTTGGATACAATTTTCGTTTTAAAAAAATGATGGCGCCTTATTATAGGTTCGCGTTAATTTATGTTAACGTTAATTTCCGTGCCGTTAATTAAGTGTAGCGTTAATTTCCACTATTTTGACTCCAATTTCTCAAAACCTTCAGACAACTAACAAGTAAGAAAGAGGAGTATTTTTATCAGGCTGGAGTTCCGCCAGTTACAGAGAAACCGTGTAGAACTTGAAGTGGCCTGATTTCTTCCCTAAACCCTTCGTATACGTTTAAGGAAAGAGCCAAGAACAAAGTATCCATTTCGGATTTCAAGTTTAACTTTAATCACGTTGTCTCAACAAGTTTTGTTTCTTTGTAAACGTCGCGTCAATTTCCTTTATTGTGAAATGTTACCCTCTCTTCCGCGTTTATTTCCTTAATTCGCAAATCGTTTTCCACTAACTTCGCGTTAATTTAGGTCGCGTTTATTTCCAATACCCGAGGCGTAATTTCATGGAGCTTTAATTTCCTATAATAAGGTAACTATGCAGATAAATAATAAACAGTGAAATAGTAGTTATAAAATGATGCCATCCCACTCACTCACTTATTTCTAACTCATCTCGCAATAATCGCTCCTCTTGTTCACTCATTTCATTCACTCACTCATTTCATTCGTTCGCAAATAATCGCTCCTCTTGTT